GACATTATTGAGTTATTTCTATTTCTGGCCATGTTTCCATAGAGGTGCAGGACTTTGTATTACAGTGAAAAATGAGCCCACAGCGCTAAAAAAAATGTGACAGGAGCAAAGAAAAGAGCAAGAAACTGCTGCTCAGGGTTCACAGGGTTAACGCAGAAACAACGAACCGGCATCGTGTGTATTTACTGTTAGCAGCTTGTACACCTTCTGATGTGGAGCGGAGATAAAGGCCCGACGGTCGCCTCGGCTCGGCGCGGCAGATTATGTACAGCCACCACTCAAGGCTAATGGCTCTTATTTGTTGGCACTCGGTGACGTTGATGAAGCAAGTAGGTGAAGGTGACGAACATCCATCCTCGTCTCGCTGAGCCTCCAGACTGAATGAGTCTGATTGATTTATACTCCACCTCCGTTTACACAGTCGCTCTGCTGTGAATCCTGTGCCTTCCCCCAGGAGTTACAGTACAAATAAGTGTATTTGTACAAGTGAAGAATATTCTTCAGCGGTGACACAGTTTCTGCAGTTGCATCACTTTGCGCTCAAGTCAGAGAAATGAGGAAACACAGATATTTTAAATGTATTTAACCTTTATTTAACCAGGATGTCCAGTGAGATTAAAACCTCTTTGGTGAAGGAGACCTGGCCCAGAAGCCATATCATTATACAGGTACAAATAAATAAATAAAAACAAGCATGACAACAACAAGTAAATGAATAACAAGTAAAGCACAACCAAGGTGCTAAACATGAATATAACAAAATCCAGCATAGGAGCAGCAGCTGTGCTCTAAGCTGAGCGTTCAACTCCCCCAGAAAGACAAAATCATGTAAAAACAGATTAATCATGTATAATATATGAAGCGTTCTTGATCCAATTTAAGAAAAGCTTGAAAGAAATGTCCCTGCTAATGTGCACCACCATTCATTTTTTCTTTTTTCTTAACATTTTCACCTGAAAAACATCCACAGATTCTGTCAGAGAACCAAAACATTAAATCTGTGTCCTCATCATCAGGTTACCGCGAGATCTGAGGAACCCCTCTGGATTTTTATTTCTGCCCGATCAAAACTATATATTAAAGAGCAAATAACAGCCTTTTAACAGTGAGTCGGCGACAGTGATGCTGTTGAACCTACAAACTCTGACGTGCAGCTCTATCAAATTTGATGCATTTTTAGTAGCACTGAGCAGCCTTTTTTATACGTACGACGCTCTGCAACCTTCGAAACACGGTTTTAATATCCAGTACAGCCTACTTTTTTCACTGTTGATTAATCTATTGACTATTTTCTGAATTAATTGATGACTTGTTAAGTGTGAAAAAGTCAATCAGTGTTTCCCAAAGCACAAGAAGTCTTGTTTTGTCCAACACTTACAAAATATTCACATTTAAGAAGCCGTATTCAAAGAGTTTAGACTATTTTCTTCTGCAGTAAAACCTATTATTGGATCATCAAAATACTTGGCGAATGATTTAATACTTGAGAACTTATTGATTCTATAATAGATTCATTGAGGGCTTTTCAAACAACATCACGTTCCACCTACTTATGTGAGGATTTAATGATCTCACGCTGGCACTCCTCGCCACGTTTGAACTTTTTTCTGCCTCTGTATATTTTAGCTGCTGTATCGTTCATATATAATCACAAGATTGAAATTAATTCTGTCATAACATCCTTCAGTTTTGTCTCGCTGCCAGATCTTCTAAAAATTAAGCAGTTTTCCTCACTTGTACATAATAAGCCTCAGATCTGTGCACTTTCACTGCTTACAAATTCACTGTTAATATTTGATGTTGACCAGATTTGTGCTACAGAAGCAGTTTGTCTCCTACTTTGAAACTGGCGACTCCGGCATCCCGGGAAGAGGCTCGTCTGTTTTTCTGTCTGTCGCGATTATTAAAATGCATGAGCACATCGGAACATAGTTTGAATGCTGAGATTTTTTTTTTTTACAGTAGAGCGAGTGAAACAGAACTAAATCTGCAACGGTCCACGCTGGATGGTCATTAATATTTATGAGGTATTTGTGATTAGGCCCCGTTTCAAAGAAAATGCAGCAAGTGAACCTGATTAGGCACACTGAATCAAAGCCCATTATAAAACCAATTTCATTTGACTTAAACTCACAAAGCAACAAAATGATATTCATAATAGGCTGAGAGTCTAAAACGCCGGCGACGAGCAGCGGCGGCGCTTCTTTAATCAAACAAGTGTAATGGAAAATGAGGTTTCTTTCCCCCCCGCATGGCAATTACGACATGGCGTGGTGTTGGTCTACCAGGAATTCGGAGGTGAATGAGGTAGTGATGAACTGCCTCCAAGTGTCCTCTCCATCACCTCGGCTGTCAGAGCTGTCGATCAGCTGCCTCGATCTCAAGTCTGAGGCTTCCCTGCTCCTCTTGCAGCACACCGGCTGTGTGAAGGAGTCGCTGTATCGGCCGGTCGAAGTCACCGGGGGCCACCGAATGAGAAGCGTCTAAAGGTCCTGACTGTGGCTACGCATTCTGAGAGAGTTAAAGCCAAATGTGTCGAGCCTCCGAAAGCCTTTCAGAGCTCCTTCGTTAAACGCCTCTCTGCTGTGTTGTTCTGCTTCTTTTTTTCTCTTGATTATGACGATAATGAAAGTAAAAGAGGGGAAACAATGACCCAAAAAGATTGCAACGACGTGTGCAAAGGAGCGGAGGAGTTGAAATGGATTCAGAGATGAGAAAACATAAACATAACCCAAATAAAGTTTGCAGAAATGAGAATAAGCATTCACGCAGATGCATCCCATGCTTCTCTTGCGGGAACTTGCGGTGATGCTGCAAGACTCTGTGCTGCATGTTTTTAATATAAAACTAACATACATGTTCACAAGATATTTTGAAGTAGCTGCTTTCTCCATAGTCATCCCCATCCTCCAAAATGAGGCTCCTATACCTTAAAACTGCACTTTGTGATGACCTGATTGAGCTTTTTTTTTTTTTTTGTGCCCTATTCCAATCCAACACAATTAAAATTTAGTATCTGCTGATAAATAAACAAAAAATACAAGCTTCAAGTGTTCTAGCTTCTCTGTTTAATGCTGTACCAACCTGATGTGGGCAGTTTCATGTTGGCAAGCAGAGAGCATTGTGGGGGTTTTAGCTAGTCAAGTGGCACCATGACAAAGCCTTCTGGGTCGCTTAATGACGTCTGGCCAGCCCACGTTGCTGGAAGTAGCAAGGACAATCCGATCTGAGTCATTAAATATTTAATTAGACACCATTTCCAAGTAAAATACACACTCTTAAGTAATTTAGATAAGATATAGTACCTTGTGGTGCCACCAGGTAGAGCCTCGTTCTGTTTAGCTCTGGCTGTTCCATTTTGTGGGTTTACAAGAAGTCCGATGCGGGTCATTTCATATTTAGCATCTGCAGAGAACACCCCTCAGTCCGTTGCCATTGTCTTAAATAATACACACTTCAAATATTGTAGATGAGCTGCAGTACCTGGAGCTTTTTACTGTTTCATATGGGAGCGACCAGAGGAGGGTTTTTTAAGTATAGAGGCACCAAGACTTAATGACCTCTGGCCAACACACACATAAATACAAGCCAGAATTAGCAAGTCATATGTCTGTGGCATAAAACAGCAACTACAGCACAGGATGAATACCCAGTGTTCTTAATTTGTAGAAACTAATCAGTTATTGATAGATAAGGCTGCATTTGTTACGAAAATGATTCCAATTTTTTTTGACATGTGTGACGGCAGCAACGGTAAACAAAGGATCAGGTTTAGGTTGCACTGGTCATTGCATTGATCAGCCGCAATCCTGATCGTCATTTTAAATTGGCATATTTTTGCAGTTTATTTTATTTTACCAATCATGCACTTGTAATGCATGTTGAATGCTTTATGAAATTTGTAGTTTTACAATTATATTCTTGATTCCTGTAATTATTTTACCTATAAACAGTGTACTATTTGAGTTTTTAGGAATGGAAAGTCACTACATAAGTGAATCTGAGACATACTTAAGAAACTGGAATCAGAAAATGTAAATCTATTAAGTAATAGTCTCTTATTGCTATGCATCTAATTATCATTGTGCCGTAGAGGGAAAAATTGCTCTGGCATGTTTGTAGTTCTTTGTCATCTTAGATGGAGCTAAGCCCAGGATGTAGGGATGGTGCCCCGGCTAAATAAGGGAATTGTTTTGGTGGAATAGTTACACACAGGAAGGCGAGCGCAGGCATTGAAATGGCTAATTCGCTGACTAATGTGTCCCTGCTCAGAAGTGGATGTTGAAAAGCTACGTGTAATGTGCAGATTTATACCTGAAGTCTACATCCAGCGAGTCAGACGACTTAAATCAAAGACTTTTTTTAAATACAAACCAGTTGTTTTACAGTGGCAGTGTTGCTACTGGTACTTACTTTATTAAAACACCACTCTTTAATATTTAATCTGAATAATATCTTCATTATTTTTTAAATTATGTCATTACTCGGTTCAAAACCCAAAGCAGCAAATCTTTACAGTTGAATAATTGCAACCAGCAAATGTTTGGCACAAATTAATTGGAATGACCGTCTCAGCTCCGCATGCAAAACAAGTAATTACAGCTAAGTTACCGGGTTTTTTAGTTTTGTTCCCGAACTGTAACTTAATTTTGCTCCGTGCAGGTCGATGCTTTTGCTTCAAAGTCTAAATTATTTATTGCCTGATTGATTTGCTCTTGTATGTATCGACAGGCCGGGTAATGGCTTTGTTAGCGACATGGCGGTGGCGGCCGGCTGATTGGATGACTGATGGATTGTGTGGTGAAGAAAATGAGTTAAGCTCAGGCAGAAGGGCGGTCTGAGCGGCGTGAAAAGGGATGACTTTTCTCTGAGTACAGTTTATTGAATGAAGCCCTTCACAGAACAGCCACAATAAGGCTGCCTGCTTGTAACGTCTGATCAAATCTCCACTTGAGCTCGTATTTGTCTGAAAATGTGATTTTCTTGTTTTCCCCCTGCAGGCTCTCTACAACTCGATCAAGAATCAGAAGCTGCAGTGGACACTGTAAGTCATTTTGCATCGACTTTATTTTACTATTACTCACCTTAAACTGTTTCATTGTCTCCCTCCTTCTGTCCCTCTCCGCGATTAACTCCGACACACACCGGAGGAGGGCGGGAAACAATAAGAGATATTGATTAGCTTGTTTGCATCCTCAATAATGACGTGAGTGTTGTCTGGCATGTGAAGGAAACATTAGTGTGTCAAGGGTTGCTATTCTGGATCACAGCTCCAGAGCGCCTCAGAGATGCCAATTAAGTCAGCTTTCCAAGCTTTGTTGCCATAGCGACGGCACCATGGATACGACTCCATAGCTACCGCATTGCTCTTTCCTCCCTGTGTTCTCTCAGCAAGCGCACACACACACACACACACGGCCGCTGATAGATAAACTGTACGTATAAAAATACACGCAGGATTTGTATGTATGCGAACATGATGTCCTCTCGCACTCGAGAAAATAAAAAGATAAACGGAGAGGGAACGAGCCGCAGAGAGAGAAACTCCATTTAAGCGGCTCTTTACCTGCATTCTGTACAAAGGTGTGACCACAGCCTCCCACTACCTTTCCAAAAATAGCAGCAGCAGCGCTCCCGAAGCAGCCGAATAAAAAGTGGTCAGAGGAGCAGATCGAGGAGGAGATCCACAGAGAGGCAGGCAATCCAGTTCTCTCTGACATATAGACAGCTATTTAAACACCGCCGCCGCCGCATAAGGGGCCGCGCTGGGATGGAAAAGATGTCACTTCTGGACGCGTAAACACCATCGAACGCCGGAGAATTCACCTGCCAAACCAAATAAATTACCGATTAAGAGATTGCAGCAGTATATCTGGCGGAGACGTGTTCGTTTTTTAATATTTTAGAGAAACCTTATTCGGAAGCAGTGTCACTTTTGCCACCGCTTTCACACCCCGATGCATATTTCATCATATTTCACTTGACTCGAGTTCAGCGACACCCGATTTCGAGGCTGCAAATGCTCGCAATAAAGCATGTATTCCTTTCTTTTCTATATATAGGTCGGCCCAGCTTTGATTCACTAATTTACTCCCAGATTGAGGCTCCGCAATCTGCGATAGAGGTGTGATATTCAGACGCTAAAACAAAACCACTCGCTGTGATCGCATGAATACAAACTGTATAATCTCGTTACAGGTGTCCATTGGTGGGTTTTTTCTTTTTTTTTCCTTTTTGCACCCCATATCACAACAAAAAAAAAAGAAAAACACGACGATGGATGTTGTTTCACACCCCCGCAAGGGAAAAAGACACGCACATGGCCACTGTGAGCGGTGCAGTTGGATGCACCCACATGTTCTCCACTCGCACAGACGTACACAGAGCACACATGCTTCCTCATTGAGCGGCGGGGGTGGAGAGCCGAGGGATGGTGCTGGTGGTGGTGGTGGTGGTGGTGGTGGGCATTGTGCTCTGAAAGGGAGACGCAACAAGTCGGAGATGCAGGAGGATGCAGGGATAGAAGCAGCAGAATCAGCTTCACCGTAGGATGCCATGGGGGATGTTTGGAGAACCATCCTCCGCTCTGTTATTCCTTTTAATCCCATTTCTCGTCCTCCCTCCGTGGCTCTAATCATCCCGTCTTCCTATTGTCTCACCTGCAGTGGGAGGGCAGATTTGTGCCATCGACTCGTATCATGCGACATTAGACAATGCTTTGACTGTAACGCCGGGGTGTTAAAACCTCGGCTGCTCGTGTCTGATTTGCGTTTTTACAAGCTGTTAAATGCTTAATAAGCAATAATTCAAACACAGCAGTGGCTTTAGTTGAAGAGGAGACCTGCACCTTTAAATATATATAAAGATAAATGACCTGATTTATTGGTTTTCATTCAAATATGGAGCAATAAATACAACATTTTTTCAAGAAAATAACATTTTGTTGTTTAATTAAACATATAATTGGCATATATTTAGTTTAAAAAACTGATGTTTGGTGGTGAAGTAAAAGTAGATAACAAATTAAAAGATGCTAATAGATTCACATAAATTAAGAAAAAATGAAAAGTATTGATAAATCAGTAAAAAATTTAAATAAAAACCATTAGATATGGAAAAATGGCCAAGCAGACAAGCTTATGTACAAATTAACATTAAAAAAATTCAAATAAACCCAACAGAAAAGCAATAAAATCTTACAAGCAGAATACAGAATTACACTATAAAGTATAATAAAAATGGCAATAAAATATTTTTAAAAATAAATAAATGAAGATACATTTTACAAAGAAAATATTATGTAAAATTGAACAAAACAAAAAGGAAAGGAGTAAAATAAAATGGACCAGAAGACAAGAATATGCACAAAATGCAACATAAATGATGACGTATTTTAATCAGCACATCAAATAGCTGCTTTCAGTGAGATATGCTAGCTGCTCTGTTTAGCTACGTATTGAGCTACAGGTATGCTGTCCTACAGCCTGCATCCTGAAAATCATGCCGTGACTATGTCCATTAAACATCACAGAAGACTTTGTCATGATGCTACCTAAACTCCCACAATGCTCTCTGGCACCTCTTCTGGTCGCTACAGCATTGAAAAGTAAGAGGCTCCACCTGGTGGTGCAACGCAGTACTGCAGCCGAACACCAATACATTTTCTGACATGCACGTCCTTCAGTTTCTGCTGTATCGGTTAAATTATTTACAACAATTAATCATTTAAAGATTAGTGATCCTTAGTACTGTTTTAGTAACAATCGCAGAAGTAATTTTTCTGTATGGAGTACTTTTAATGCCATTGTGCCTGTTCGTGGTTATACTTAGAGCAGATAGCAGTAGATAAACAGTAGGTGTTGGCAGTGCTGTGTTCATGAACTAGCACAATTACAGTATGTTTGGAAACCCATGAACTGAATAAAAAATTTAATATTCTTCACGATTCCTCTGGATTCCGAAATTTGGAACCAGTTCGGAAAGGAAAAAGAAGTAGCCGTGGTAACGTCAGCTACCTCATACGAATAAGTGTCTGTACAATCTGGTGGAGTTTTCATCCTGGAAACGTCAAACCTCGGTCCTTTTCTAAAACTATCCAAGTAGTTTCAGTGTCTAAACTTAACAAAAACACAACTGAAAATGAGACTAAACACCAGTAAAACTAAATGAGACTGAAGTCAACAAATAAAGCTGTTCCAGACAGAAGTCCTGACAAAAGTCTTGTGGCTGATGTAAGCCTCCACCAGCCTCCAAATGTGGACTTTGGTTCCTTTTTTTAATTGCAGACTTTGCGACTCCACCAGAAATAACAGCGCCGGGTCTGTTAGGAGGTGGAGGAGAACCCCGCTGGCTCACATGTGTCAAATAATATCCGATAACGGCCGTTTAATTGGGCTGATACCATCTGAAATGAAGATAGCTTGATATAATAGTCTTCTAATTTCACACATCATTTCAAGACCTGCACTGGTGTGATGCAGACTTTGATAAAGAAGAACATTACTTTCATTTATGAGCAGCTTGTTTTTAAACCGTCTGTGTCCGGGCAGACTTTTACATTCATGTCTGTCAAAACTGAAGCAAAGACAAAGGAAGTCCTGGTTCTGGCCTCACAGACAGCAGTGGCGTGTTGAAGCTGTTCTCTGGATGTTGTGACGGTAAATCAGAGCCGGTGTGGACTATTATGGGATGCGCTGTCACGTACGGCAGCATGGATGACTTCCTGTCCTCTTTCACTCGACTGTGTTCCAGAGTTTCTGCTGCTCAGTGTCTCAGGTGAAAGAATCGCAAAACGTCCCAGCATGCACTGCTCTCAACTCTTCATCTCGTCCAGTCACATCCGTAGGGTTTCTTTCTCTGCACGTTACGGTTCTTTCCTTTTCTTTTTGTTTTCTTTGATATTTCATTCTATTCCTTCATCTTATCCCACCTTATCTCATTTTCTTTCTTTGGTTGTTTCTCTCTGTCTTACCTTCTTTCATTTACTTTCTTTTCAATATTTTGTCTTTCTCTGTTCACTTTCTTTCTTTTTCCTTTTCTTGTCTTTTACTTTATTTGCTTTCTTTCATTCTTTCTTTCGTTGTCGTCTTTCTCCTTCATTCTTGTTGTCCTTTCTTTTCTTTTCTTTTCTTTTCTATTCTTTTCTTTTCTTTTCTTCCTTTCATTTTACCTTTTCCTCTTTGTTTAATATTTTCCTCCCTTCTTTTTCTTTCTTTTCTTTAATTCACTTTTCTTCCGTTCCTCACCCCGTCTGTGCTATTCTTCCTTGTCATTTTCCTTCTTTTCATTTTCTTTCTGACATTTTCGATTTATTGTTGAACCAAATTACTGTATTATATTCTTTTCTTCATTTTTGTTTTCTTACCATTTTTAAATTTCTTTTCTGTTTTATTTTCTTCCTTTTCCTTTTCTTTCTTATATTTTTCAGCCTCTTCCTTCCTTAATTTCTCTTTCACTTCCTGTCCTTCGTTCTTTCTTTCATTTGCCTTCTTTTACCTTCATCCTCAGTTTCTCTTTGTTTCCTTTTCCTCTTTTTTAACTTTCTTCTTTGACTTTCATTTGATTTCTTGTCTGTGTTTCATTTCTTCTCAATCTCTCATGTCTCTCCTTTAACTTTTTTCTTTCTTTGTCTTACTTCCTTTCATTTGCTTTCTTTCGTTTTCCTCACTTCACTTCTTCTCATCTCATTTTTCTTATATTTTTAAGTTTTGTTCCTCTTGTTTCTTGTCTTTCGCTTACTTAAGTTTCCCATCTATTATTTTTCTTTAGAGTTCTCTGTTCCTTTCCTTTCTTCTTATCTTTTAATTTTCTGCTTCTTTCATTTCTTCCTTTCCTTTTCCTACCATCATCTCTTATCCTTTCTTTTTTTTATCTTTCCTTTGTTTCTGTTCTCTATCTTCTTTCTTGTCATCGTTTTACCTTTATTTCCTTTTTTCTTTTGTTTTTTGCCGATAACGTTCTGCCATCTGAGAAAGATCAGCTGTTTTTTTTTTCTCCCCCTTCCATCTCTGTCACCCCTGTATCTCCATCCATCCATCCATCCATCCATCCATCCATCCATCCATCCATCCATCCATCCATCCATCCATCCATCCATCCCCCCGCTCTCAGCTCCACTTTGTCTCTGTGTGAAGAGGGATCCAGGCAGTTACCAGGCAACAGGCTACGAGCTCATTGGCTCCGTCTCAGCCTCTCGTTCTCTCTCTGGCTCCTGCATGGGGTTAACTGCTGTTATGTACTGTTGGTTACTCATAGCGTGGTCTCGGGGGGGTTCGGCATCCAGCCATTTTCTATTTTCAGGCTGAACTTTTGCATCGGTGCCGCCTGGTGAGGTAACAAGTGGAATTGCCACGTTACCTCGCTGGGCAGATGCTGCTGCAGCCCAAAGCATCTATCATCTCCTAATGTGACAAATCCCTTTAAGAAGCAAAAAGATGCATACAGTGCATTGTAGGGGATTATTTAGAGGAGAATGGGATTATCGCCGCTGTAGCCGTGTACATTGTTGGTATATTCCATCATTCCGACGTTTCAGAAATGTGTAATGTACCGACGGATAAAATAATGTTCTGTACTCGGACAGCAGGACTCAACAAGCAGAGAACTTCTACTGAGAGGTTAAAAGATGCACACAGAATGTTAGAAACAAAACTTTAAAAATAAAAACATCAAAAAAAGTAAAGACAAGAGAAGCTTCTGTACAAAATTATTTTAAAATCAGGAACAACACAGTAAAAAAAATTAATTGGAAAACAATATAAATGCTAAAATGTGATATGAGCAAGATAAAAAATTATAAAGTTTTATTTACATACAAGCAACGAAAATGTGCAAAACACACAATTAAATTAGAAAATATTTTGTTAAAATGATTAAAACTGTAAAAAATTAAATGAGTGAGCAAAATGCAAAGTTAAATGATAAAATATTTGTAAAAATGCAATAAAACAGTTTTAAAAAAATAAAATCACAGAAAAATATAAAGACATAGAAAATCAGTTGGGCGCTGCAGGGTGGCTCAGTGGTTAGCACTGTTGCCTCGCAGCAAGAAGGTCGCCGGTTCACGTCCCAGTGGGGGCACCGGGATCTTTCTGTGTGAAATCTCCATGTTCTCCCCGTGCAGTGTGGGTTCTCTCCGGGTTCTCCGGCTTCCTCCCACAGTCCAAAAACATGTTGAGGTTAATTGGTGATTCTAAATTGTCCGTAGGTGTGAATGTGAGTGTGCTTGGTTGTCTGTCTCTAAGTGTAGCCCTGTGATAGACTGCTGACCTGTCCAGGGTGTCCCCTGCCTTCACCCTGAGTCAGCTGGGATAGACTCCAGCCCCCCATGACCCTAGTGAGGATTAAGTGGTGTATAGATGATGGATGGATGAAAATCGGTTGGAAGACAAAACTGTAAGCAAAATGCAAAATCAGATAATAAAGTATTCAAAACTAGAAATAAAAAATTCTGAATAAGATTAAAATAGGGTTAAAAGTGCCAAAATGGAATAAATCTCAAAAACACAAATGACAAACATTAGAGAGAGAAAGTTTGCAAAAATACATTTGCTAAGAAATTGTTTTACGAAAAAACTGTTTCAAAAATTAAATAAAATTAATTACAAAGAAAACACGGGTTGGAAGACAAGAACATGAGCAAAATACAAAAATCTAATGTTAAAAATGGTCATAAAACTGTGTTAATATTAATAAAATATATTTTTTAAATGAAAGAAGGGCTTGTAAAGGGAAACATGCTGGACGATAAAAGCTAAAGTCAATAATGAAGCATTTGAAAATGGGTTCAAATTGGTGCCAAAGCAGTAAAAAAAAAAGCTTAAAATGAATTTAAATACAGAAAAGGGGCTCGTTATATAAGACACACAGACTTCTAAACAAAATATGAATGCACATTCTGCTTTTTGGACAGAGAGCTAGAAAATAAAGTCATAATGAGACTTCCCGTAAATTCCGACTCACAGTTCACATGAGAGCAGTTAGTTAGACATGAAGCTGCAGTCGAAGCCTCATCGCGGTCCTCATTTACGGGAATGCTTCCTGGAGGCCTGTTTCTAATGAGCCAAGTGCACCGTGATTGGAAGCTTCAAATCCACCAGCAACAACTCACAGCCCCGAAACTCAGCTTAATAAAGAGGGAAGTAAATCAGGAGCTGTCAGTGCTCCAGTTCCTTCAGAGCTCTGGTGACACAACAAAGTCTAACAATCAGATAATCAGACAAGCTGTACACACTTTGTTGTGATAGAGAACTGGGCCTTTATGTCTGCACTTGAATTGGAGTGTTATGGTGTGATTAGACCGGAATTATGCAAAAGATTTGGTAATTCTTTCATCTGTGGTCGCGTAAAAGGAACTGCAGAGGTTCAAATAATACAAACAGAAGCCAAGAGACGAGCACATTCCTCATAAATAAAACGATGGCAGGTCTAAATATAAGTCAGATGTTAGTTTATTAGCATTTCGTTTAAAAAAAACCAAATCCAACAGTCATAATAAAATCTGGTTTTTCCAAATTATAATATAAACACAATAAAGTTTTTATATAGAGAATTTATTTATGCCCTAAACCAAAAAACCTGAGTTTAAAAGGCATCTCATCTGTTAGCAAAATTACCAGAATTACATTCATCAGACCCAGAAACTGTAAAAACAGACCAGGTTGTCCGATTTTTAACAGTCCTTGAACGCATCGTGTGTGATACGCAATTTATTGAGCAAAATTCTCTCAAAAATGAGCTTAAATTGCGATTATTTAAATCAAAATGACCTCATGTCGGATTTAAAAATGCGTCAAAAATAACCAGATTATATATTTTTTTAAAAATAAAAATAAAAAACTCGAAGCCGTGAAGCTGTTATTGTGATACGACCAACAGTCACATGACTAATATTCAGATTTTCGGCTGAACTGCAGTCAGAGCAAGTATGGAAACAACAAGTACTAAAGTATGTATATTATCTAGAGTCACTTATGAACACCTGTGGGAACTAAAACAGGTGTTACATTTGTTGATTCCAAGTTTTTTTCCAATTTTTCAAATGAAAAAAATCTAAGAATTTAAGTTTAATTTGATTTTTTTGTACCTTATGTCATTATAACTTTGATATGCTGCACAGAAGGTGTTTTTGAGTTCTCTCACAAACTTCACCACATTAAATACAAACTGCAGGATACATGGATTGTATTCGTCACATGCTCATACAGTCTGTGCAGTGAAAAAGGAGAAATCTTTAGAAAAAAGTCATAAATAATGAGGCAGAGATCTTCATGTAAAGTGCAGTGTACACAGAGAAGTCAACATTAAAAGTTTAGATCTGTTTCTTCATTAAAAAACAGCAACAACTTCCACTTTCTGCAGAGTTTACGTCTATGTTTGCCTGTAAGTTAAGAGTTTCTCGACTAAAAATGGCCACAGAGGTTTTTGTTTTTGGGGACAGAATCAGGTTTCTTCCCTGTTGCACGAAAAGTCTTTCAAGGATCAGTTCTGCTTCTTCTTCTTCTTCTTGTGAGGAGCAGCAGCGATGCATCCGTAAGAGGAGCTGGCCCTCTGGGTAAAGATGCCCCTGTTTTTCACCTCAAAGCTGGAACAAGATAGATGGTGTCACTCTGTTCCTGCGCTGCGTTCTGATCAAGGAGACCGGACTTTGTTCTCCGGAGAACGGCAGCTCAGAGAGAGGGGAGAGAGGAAAACACACAATTAAAAGCTTTGAAGACGACTCAGGTTTCCCCCCGCGGTGATCCGACGTCTCAGGAAAAAAAGCCGCCCCGATATTACTCATGTGTACGTGTGTGACGGTGTGAAATCTCTGGACCTCTTGTCCTCGCGTAACGGAGCGCGAGGAGGCAAACGGGCAGGATGAACGATGATGTGTTTAATGCTAATGAGACATGACACATAAGTGTTGATCACCATGGAGTCTTCTTCTTCTTTTTTTTTTTTTCTCCATCCTTTGCGGTCTCCATAGAGACGAGGAAGAGCTGCGGAAGTCGTTTTCGGAGCTCGGGGACAGCCTGTGCGAGTCCAACACCTCCAGGTCGATGAAGAGGGTGGGCAGCAGCGGGAAGCCCCTGTCGGACGAGACGGAGCCGTCGGGAACGCTGCTCTACAAGAACGGGTTCCTGGTGCGGAAGGTCCACGCCGACTCCGACGGGAAGAGAAGTACGAAGCTCATGTGGAGTTTTTTCTTTTGCCATGAATGTCACATGTTGCAGCTCTCGTCTGCCCTGAGATAAGTCAGTTTAAAACCAGCACACAACGCTGTACGGCCACTTTTATTCCAAGAAGAAGGAAAAAAAACCTGTATAGAAGATTATATTAGGCACTAAAATAATTATAAAATTCATTTAGCCCAGCTTTAAACTAAAGCCACTCTGGATGCAGTAAAGTTTGCGTCTGCTACAGAAATTCATTTTCATATCTTGGAATCTCAGCATCCAGAGCAGCTCAGGCTTTTGTCATGACCTGAGGCTGAATTATAGATTTTTTCAACACCAATTATTGGTAATCGAGGACACAGACAGATAAAATGAGAACATCTTGCTGTTAAAATTTGGAATAAATCCCAACACAAAGCTGAAGTGCTTCTGTTTATGTTTTACAATAAGAAGAACATTTGTTCTGCAGTTCATCTGCTTCTACTGGAGCATTTTTATTTATTGTTTTAATAGAGAATCAGATTTTAAAAAACAATACCAATAATCTGGATTCTGTTTCAATGCAGTTTGTTCTAAATAAAAAAAAACTCGATATCGTATTTGCATCTATAACTGCAGGTGTCGTATTATATTGACGTGTTTTCTCCTCCTGCAGCACCGAGAGGGAAGAGAGGCTGGAAGACCTTCTATGCCATCCTAAAAGGGCTAATTCTCTATCTGCAAAAAGTACGTTTTCCTCACATCACATCACATACAATATATATCATGCACATTATGTCCATGTTTACTTGCGGCAGTTTAAAAAAAAAAAAAACGGCTGAGCAATTTGTAACAGCTCCTGCTTGATATTCATTATTCAACCTTTTAAATAACGCTTGACTGCTGCTCTGTAAACATCCTGTTTCACTTTGATGCCAGCAGAAGGAGAATCTTTATCCTCGCGGTGGTTGTTTGTCTAGAAACCGAGCAGAAAGAGCTCTTCACCTGATGTGGGAATCTCTGAAAATGCTTTATTTAAACTGAATATCAGGGACAAAAAAAAAACCCAAAGCGTCCAGTATCAGGGGGAGTCTTCCTGTTTACATGTCTGAGAGCTGTTGTGACATAACGGCCCGGCGTCGTGCAGAGAAACCATACGGAGCTAAAGGACCTGGCTCTGGTCAGGGTCAACCTCTGCCAGCACCGCAGAGGAAAAAAAACGCTGCTGAGGAGAAAGAAATGTGACGCCGACTCATGGATGAGCCTGTAGTCAAAGTGTAGCGAGAATAAGCACAAAAAACTTTATTCCTGCAGCAATGTTCAAGACAAAGGGCTGCATTGAAATCATCTGGTTAAGGATGAAATACAGAACGATGACATGAGATGAAAGCAAGATGAGTAAAGTCCTGCACCTCTATGGAAGCAGCACAACCAGGCCTATTATGGTGTCATAAATTCTAAGAGAAAGAAAGTTGAATTTGTTTTAGAATAACTGAATCTGCATGTAGAACATTTTTCCACATGCTCGCAGGTATTACAAACACTGAGGGGGAAAAAAATAAATAAACGTGGCTCCACAAGCTATAAATATAAAAAAAAAAATAATAATGTAAAATTTACAAAAATGTAAAAAAAAAACAAAAAAAAAAATGTAAAAGCAAATAACAGCAAATATCTGTACAATGATTATTCAAATACAGTGAAATATTGTAATTGTACAGTCACAAATTCTAAAATAATGAATTAGTATTTGTAAAAGTGTTTGATGTGGACGTTGTGTACAGTTTTATTAAAATACCTTCAACATGTACATGATGATGATTCATAATAACAGAGATTTTAAAAGAGCTGATCTAACTGAACACAGGAAAAAGCTGTAAAATAACAAGAACAATTTTTTGAATAACTGTGAATATATAGGAATAATGTTTTAGCTGATTGAAATACAGTAAACTATTGTGTCTTTTACCTTTAAACCAAAGAATGAAGTTCCATTTATAAAAACTGACATTTTTAATGCGATCTAAAGTGTTGACCTGTTTCATTTATTTATTTTATTTATTTTTTATTTTTTACATTGAACATGTATATTAATACATACTCTGTGATTTTACTAGACATTAAAATATATCACAGTAATATAAAGATATAAAAAAATGAGGTTGAAAGAAAAAAAAGCAGAATTTTTGAAAACGTGATGAAATTTTAAATGATTCAAGTCCCAATCCATAGTTGATCTTTGAGACACTATGTATGTATTTTGCACATTTCAGACTGTATTCTGCAAAACTTTTGCACTTCTGCTTGAGTTTAGTTTCAAGATCTTTGCTTTCTTTTCCTGAATTTTGGAGAATAAACATTTATTTTCTTCAAGAAAGGCGGTTTTGCTTCATGAAACTCAGGTCTTGTATTTGCACTAACAGCAAATTGAACTAAAAATAAATTAAACTAAGCTTGAATTCGTTCTAAATTTCTTCTCCGGTTGTGGAAACACAAGAAAACATCGGGTAAATGTATATTCCCAACCTGAAGGGAACGTCTTAGGGTGATGAAGTCAGGTACTCGGTGTCAGTCTTTGTGCTCTTTAGTCCAGAACCCGATCAGTTCAGGTCCGAGACTGGAGGAAGATATCAGCTGTTTCAGTGATGATGTTCATGTGCAAACCTTTACCCACTTCTGTAATAAAAATACGAGGAGAGGTCAAAAAGTTCACACAACGAGGCACTTTTCAGTATAGTCCGCATTTACCTCAATGCACCAAACCCACTGTTCCTTCAGACTGTATATACGTTTAAAATAGAAGACTTCAGTTTGGTTCTTGAACCATACGTCTGTTGCAGCCTTGAGCTCATCATCATCAAGAAATCTTTTGGTTTCAGATTTCTGAACAGTGACTGGGAGTCACATCTGGACTGTAGGGTGGAAGCAGGACTAGTATCGCTATCAATACATGCCCTGAACTCAGAATGTTGGTTTTCCATCATTGCTTGATGGTCATAAACTTGTGAGATGTTGTCTAGATATGTAAAGAAATGTTGGCTGAATAACCTGTTCTACAAGCTCGTTGACCTCCCCTCGTACATCCGCAGTCATTCGACCCTGTGTGTTAATCAGAGCGCTGGTTTCCTCTCGTAGGGCGAGTACAGGCCCGACAAGCAGCTGTCAGACGAGGATCTGAAGAACGCCGTCTCCATCCATCACTCTCTGGCCATGAAGGCGTCAGACTACAGCAAGAGACCCAACGTGTTCTACCTGCGGACGGCCGACTGGAGGGTTTATCTCTTCCAGGCACCGTGAGTCTCCGTCTGCTGGCCTCGTTGCTTCTCACTGAACTGGAATAAACACATTGAACACACCCACAGTGAATAACATGCACGATGAACAGCTGCACAACATCTGCAGCCGACAGTAACATCCAAACCATATAGAATGTGCAAAAACAAAATTACATCCACATTTGGATTTAAAACCGTGAAGCTATTTTACATGCATTTAAAGGATAATTCTAGTTTATTGGTGTATTTCTCACTAATGTGTTTATTCTGTCTCCATGGTGACGCTAACTTTGCCGCCTCCATCGTAGAGATGAAACTGAGACAAAACGGTGAATGTCTTTGCAACAAGCGCAGGTTTCCTGCAGCTTTGTTTTGTTTTTTGTTTCCGGTTTTACTGAAAGGAAACGCAGGAATTAGCCATTTTGCAGATACTTTGCAAACCAATGAATTTATGTCCGTTCATCGTGGTGCATTGGATTGTTACGAGCACACGTGGAGATTTTTAGTGTGACGGTCGTTTTATAATTAATGGAGTCCAAAGACAAGGAGCTGCTAAATCGAACAGAAGATGAGGTTCGGAGGACGGAGGCAGAACGACAACAGAACGTCCTGGAAACTGTTGGTGTTTATCGCTGCTCGCTGTTGATGAGTTTGTCCATTTGTCTGAGAAGAATCCAGCTCTGTGGAACTGCAACCAACACATCTGCAGCTTTCGTAAACATTGGAGATGGTGTTTTGCCTCGCCGCCATCAGCTGGAAGAGAAGAGGAAGAACACTCGGCTCTCCATATGATCAGTAGAAGCTGATGCAACCAGAAAAATGTCAGTTCATGTGCTGAATATTTTGTGTTTCAGCCCCTGCACCAGAAAGTTATCCACAGCCTCACCAATGGCCCCTGATGCAGTCAGAAATACGCTTCATGTCGAGTTTCTGTTTCCTTTTTGTCCAATTTTTAAAAAAAGAAAGTGTAAGATGGCCACAGTGGCTAATAGCTTTTATTGTGACATGCAGCTACATATAGTTTTAATCAAATCAAATGCCCTTTATTGTCATTGCACAGCGTACAACGAGATTGGAGAGCTTCTCCTATTGTCAGTGCAAAACAGATCAAAAGATGGCTACTAGTAAAAATAATAAAATGCAAAATTGCTCAGTAAAAATATAAAAGATATATAAGGATAAATACATAAAAAATAAGAAATAAAAGATTTAATAAGTATTGCACGAGATATTGGATATTTACAGACATTGACAGAATGATTGCATTGCACGTAATTTGTGCACAAAGATGGGACTTTTTATGACAGCTCCAGTCTTTCTTTTAAAATTTCAACTCACCTGTTATCAGAGATTATTCAATCTACTTGTCTAAAATTGAAGATTTTAAATGAATGACATGATGAGAAACAACAGTGACATTGTCAGACTTTTATCTTTAGTAGTTTCTGAGATGTTGTCATTTTAAAAAAGAAAAAAAGGGCCTCAAAAATGTGCTGAAAGTGGACTGACGGGCAATTTTTAAACAGAATTTATCTCGGAAAGTGTTTTATGTATTAGCGAAAATTTCACAGACATCTTCTATAAAATTTTCAGACCAATCAAAGATGGTTGCGCACACATTGTTCTGTGAGTGTGATGATTTAAAGTGGAATGAGCCCATGTATGCTAGTATAATGTCAAGCGCCGTATGCTAAACATATCCAGATGTGCTCCTACATCTTTTGCTGTATGGACATCAGGATGCTTTTTGACCCTTTTTGCCCCACAATCCTCTGCATTGTTGCACCACATATGTGATATATGAAAGTTTAAGGAGCAATATTATCACAGAGTAGTAAGTTTGTCCCAGTTGTACGCACACCGCAAAAGAAAATGTGATTTTAAATGCACTCGTTGTGAAGAATCTAAAACTTTTGCACAAGCCAGAAGTTCTACGTTCCCTCACCGGGGACTCCAGGATTCTCTAATCACCTACATCCAGTCTGCAACCCGGTTACACGAGTGCCTCTAAACACACTTTTAGCTTCTTTTTTTTTCCTTCTCCGGCTTTGAGGCAACAGTTTGCAGACGACTCCCTCCTGCTCCACATACAGCAGCAGCAGCTCGTTTAGCGGCCCAGCTAACAACATGTGGATCCAGCTGTGCTCCGGTGCACACGGTTCACTTTTCACATGTCGGGCGGCGCGTGTAGCCCAGGCGAAGGTGTGTAAATGTGCACTAACGGGATCCAGGAAGTGGCACATGAGTGGCCACATGTTCGAGCCCCCAGGAGGACCGGCTCTGTGCTCCAGTTGCAGCTTGCATTTGTCCCAGATACTGAACCCCTCCCTGAGCCTCTCGCCTCTTTCTTTCTCTCTGCTCTTTGTCTCCATCTCGCCTCCTCTCTCTCACCGTCCCTCCTCGGGGATTTAAGCGAGGCTGTCTGATTCGATATGATATTTCTCATGGGCCCCTAATGGGTCTGTTAGTGTAAAACAGGCCCTTTTCTCTCATGCCTTAATTGGCTCCAAAATAATTTCTTTGTCAACAGCAGCTCTGCACTCTCTGATAATTATCCCTTTGATGTTGTAATCCGGCCGCGTGCGAGGATGAGCGGGTTTCTACCTACCGTGTGTGTTTTGAAGTTCAGGATTTGTTTGTAGTTCATCTTGCGTGTTTGTTTGTTTGTTTGTTTGCGTGTGCAGGAACGCGGAGCAGATGCAGTCGTGGATCACTCGCATCAACACGGTGGCGGCCATGTTCTCAGCTCCTCCCTTCCCGGCAGCCATCGGATCCCAGAAGAAGTTCAGCCGACCGCTGCTGCCGGGGACCATGTCCAAACAGACCGAGGTATCGTCACGCTGACGGCCGGAGAGCAGGCCGATCCGGTTCTGAGACGAGTCTGAGTCCAGTCAAATCAGATCAAGTTCACATTTTAAAAGAGTGAACCAAACCACAAGACAGCCAGCAGCAGAAATATGTTCAAGAAGCAAAACAAAACCAAACTAATTCATTTGCTAACTAGATAAACATATTTGTAACCTGTAAGGTCAATTTCTAAAATAAAAGTAAATTATAAAACATTACAAAAAAAGGCACAACATAACTTGTGAGCTCACTTTCTAAAACTAAGTAATTAGACAAAACTAAAAAAAAATAAGAAAACAACTCCTATGATCAGTTTCTAAAATAAAATTTTAAAAAAAAAACTTATTAAAGGATAAAAAAAAGAACAATTTGTGAGATCAATTTCAAAATTAAAATAATTACAAAATTTTAAAAGGACACAATAAAATAATCACTTGTGATTTAAAATTCTAAAATAAAATATATAAATACAAAATTGTCCAAAAAAAAACCCACACACAGTAAGATAACAACGTGTGAAATTACTATCTAAAAAAAATAAATATAAAATACAAAAAAAAAACAAGGGAACAACTTAAAATTTAACAACTTAAATTTTAATAAAATATTAAGACTACAATGTGTGAGCAAGAGCCAGGGTCCTGTAAAATTTATTAGAGCAAGCATGAGAGCAATCTTCCAAAAATAACGGTCTAATCTTCACAGCCAATTCCAAAAAAGGAATAAAGTATAACGACAAAGTAATTCAAGTAATGAATTTTTCATTCATAAACACTCCACTTAGCTGCACTAACAGAAGACAAACAACGGTTTGTCCAGTTTGCTGTTCTCCGTTGTTGTTTTGTGTTTTGTTTATTTTTATTTTTACCTCAAAATACCTCAAATTTAAAAAAAAGAAAAGAAAAAAAAGAAAAGAAAAGCATCCTGCCTTTGATAATAATCTGCAGCAACTAACAGCAAACTGTTCAAGAAAAATAACTTTTTTTTTATTTGCACATAAAGTATGAACAGGAAATGCAAAGTGACTGTTGCACAAAGCTGTGTAATAAAACAAGACATAACAAAAACCATTCCTGACAAACAGAAACAGTTCAGTGTACGTGTGCGAGAGCTGCAGTCGTGTCTGTGCATACATCTATATATTATGTACATATTTATATTGTAAAAAAAAATGTGTAGATGGTTCACATCTTACAGGAAGTAAGTGCTTCTGTGTTTCAGTCTGTCTCAGCATGATTCATATTTACCCTAAAATCATTACAACACATTAATTTACAGTTTAATCGATGGAAGTTTAGGATTTTAACTGAAAATTAACCGACAAGAAATTCACTTGAGTCAAAAAATGAGAGCGCTGCGAGCAAGATCTGCATAGTTACCCTGAGCAGGACTTTAGTTATTCTGAACACTATCTAGCTGAAATAGTTGTTAAAAACAATCCTAGCTGAACCAGCATGACTTCATAAATGCAAGGTATACAAATACACATGTGTATATAAATATAAATACCTGAATCGAGGCAGTCTTTTAATTAATTGAATTAAAGTAGAGGGCTGCACGGTGGCACGGTGGTTAGCACTGTTGCCTCGCAGCAAGAAGGTTGCCGGTTTGCGTCCCAGTGAGCGGGATCTTTCTGTGTGGAGTTTGCATGTTCTCCCCGTTCTCTCCGGGTTCTCCGGCTTCCTCCCACACAGTCCAGAAACATGTTGAGGTTAATTGGTGACTCTAAATTGTCCGTAGGTGTGAATGTGAGTGTGCTTGGTTGTCTGTCTCTAAGTGTGATAGACTGGTGACCTGTCCAGGTGAACCTGCCTTCACCCTGAGTCAGCTGGGATAGACTCCAGCCCCCCAAGACCCTAGTGAGGGTTAAGCGATGTGTAAGATAATGGATGGATGGAATTAAAGCAGACTCTCTCCCACCACTCCCTGGAAAACGTGCAAATTATGTTCAGAAGTAGTTTGTCTTGTGCTCCAGCAGAGGGCATCTTTAAATTCTGTCAGCTTGACCTTTTCTATCCCCGGCTGACCAACCAGTCAACTTTACTACGAATAAATAAATAAATAAAAATGCTTGAGAACAGTTGAGATCAGCATTTGGTTTCAAAGATGCAATGCAAAACTTCTCCTCAGGAGTCCGACAAGAAGTTTGTAGAAACATCATCACCGATCAGATATCAAGACAAACATGTGGAATGTGTGAACCATTGGGCTTATTTCAGGAGCATCTGTCTTCTACAGTCTCCAGCCACATGCTGAGGGTGCGTTATGTTGTGGTTCGTGTTCCAACTGCTCTGAATGAACGATGTGTTTGGGGAGATGAGTAAGAAATGAAGAGCAGGTGTGCAGGTGATGGTGTGAGTCAGTGGGTTAGAATGAAAACAGATGAAAGGAGCAGCTGTTTATTGGTTCCTTCATCATGTTTGTTTCACTTTGTGCTTTCAGGAGGAGCAGATCAGATCCCACGAAACAAGATTCAGAGCTATTTCCACCGAACTGGCCGAGCTGCGTTCGTTTCCTCCCGACCGCAAGGTCAAAGGCCGCGAGCTGGAAGAGTACCGGCAGCGAGACGAGTACCTGGACTTTGAGGTGAGCTGGACTCGGTCAGAAGGCTTCATCGAGGCGGCTTTTCACTGCAGCTGAGTTTTGTCGTCCTAAACACTGACGGGTCAAACTCACAAAAGGCTGATTGGTTACTTGGAGAGGGCAACAAGTGCCATTTTTCTGCCCCCTTGATGTCCTCGATGTGTTTTCTCTTCTCTAACATCATCATCTTTAACCGAAAAGTCAGTGTAGAATAGAACAGAAGATTGTTGTTGTTTGTCTCTGTACATCCAGGACATGCAGAGGGACTGTTAGTATATAAGCTAACCTCTATTGTTCTATTTCCTGTGGGATCATAGAACTGGAAGGCCAGCGGGTGAAAGGATCTCTTATGTTCCAGTAAACCTTCACACCACTTAACACATGCCCCGAGTTCCTGCAGTAGACAGCTGGCTAATATTTGCTGGTGTGACTCTGCTGATGTAACAGCTTATTCTGTGCTTTATAACACATGTGCTAAAGCTTAATGCACTTCATTATGCTGCACAATCATGGATGCTTCTGCTCGCCCCAAATTCATCTCAGCATTTTAAGGTTATGCTGCAGGAACTTGCAGGTCATTTTAGAGCAGCTTGAGCATTTTCCAACCTCAGCTGTAACAACTCTTTCAGGACCATTTTTGGGTGAGAAAAAAGCCCCTACTGTGGGGAAGGAACACCTGAAAAAGGTGCTGTGAGGGTCTGATTGGTTGGACTGAGCCAAGGTAGACTCAAAAAGACTCCAGGTTGTCCACTGATTGTAAAGTTGGCGGTTTGAGCAACATGTCAAAGCGTCCTTGGGCTGGAGTTGCTCCTAATGCCGGGCAGCTCCTGTGGATGTGTGGATGAGCAACACGTTGTAAAGCACTTTGATTACCAGGAAGGTAGAAAGGTGATGTATAAGTGCAGAACATTTACTGTTTTTCATCAACACCTTCAAATTTAGCACATAGGCTAACATAACGAACCTCCATTGTTCGATATCAGAGAACTGCAGTTAGTTCAGTAACTACTCAGACTTCGTAGTTGTTGGATGTGATCAGAAAGCTTGACAGCTCCAATCAGGAGGCAGTTCCTGGAAACATTTGTGCCACGACTGAAAAGCTGCTAATGACTGAAAAGCCACCTGTAGTTATCAAATCCTAACTTTCTTTTGTCTTTCTCGCACATCTTTCCAGAAAACGCGATACGGGACTTACGTGATGCTGCTTCGAGCTAAAATCCGAAGCGGCGAGGACGACCTGTCCGTGTTCGAGTCCCAGCTGCTGGAGGACAACGGTCTGCAGAGGGCTCACTCCAGCCCCACGCTGCAGGACAGCAGCCAGGCCAGCCTGGCCAGCAGCACCAGGGACGGAGGCAACAGCAGCAAAGCCAGCGGCTGCAGCAGCACCAAGCCTCGGCAGGAAGGCCAGAGACACAGCTACCGGCAGGCCGTGAAGAAGTGAGGCGGGGCGGGGGCGCCGGGAGCGGCACGGCGTTGCACTGCCAGCGGCAGGCTGTCTCCCTGCACAGGTTTTTATTTGAGATCCAGGAGGGTTTGGAGCTCTGCTTGAAGGGGGGAGCAGGAGTGAGGGTCTAACCCCACGCCCTCCCCCGACCATGACGCCCCACCCGGCACCCCAATCTTCTCATCTAACAGAGGAGGTGCAGATCCTGTGACTGGCAGAGCGGCTGGGAATGACCAGCGAGGTGCAGGAGGTCACAGGTCTGCAGGGACGAGGTGTCTTTGAGAACTGGGAGCAGCAGCAGACTGAGCTGTGCAGCCACATAAGGAGCTGCAGACGGATGATCGGGGCTCCGCAGGGGCCCGCATCCAGCATCCTCTCCTTCCCTTTTGTTCTTTCGAGGCACCTCACATTCTCCCGCCTTTTTTTCTTGACCTTGCACTCTGTTTTTGGGACCAAACATGTTTACACACTTTAACTTGTCATCGCATTACAGACGACCGATGGTTTGATTTCAGTTGAACTGCTACCGCCGCTGTCCCGCGAAGCAGCGCTGTGACATCACCAGGTCAACGGAGCCATCACATTCCAGCTCCTTTCTTTTAGCCACATCTCCACGGTGTGTTCACATTCCACACAGGAGCCGGAAATTACAGCTTTGAGCTTCTGTATGTTTTCAATGAAGGCGGCATCAGGTTGAATCAGTGTTGTGGCTGCAGCAGACGGTGCGGCTCGTCTCTCTTCCTTTCTCTGGTGGCCGATTGGAGGCATCAGTAGAAGTTCACAGGACTCCTGATATGCAGCAACATACCTGCATCTCACAGACAGAGGTCTTTTTATTGTTTTGTTTTGTTTTTTCGCTCTACTTGAACATCTCTTTCCCAGTTTGCTTTGGCTTTCTGTCCCGTGACGTGCTTCTGTTCTCTTTCTACTTCTTGGCCGAATGTTGTTTTCTGCAGTGATCCGCATGCCTGCATCCAGCACAGCTTCTTTTAGGGCCTTTTTACTACTTTCGAGGGCAAACATTCGAGAGCACCAAATCGTTCTCCGGGGGTCGTTTTCGTCGTTCTCCTCATGCCGGTGCCATAATCCAACACCTGTAACCTTCCGTCTGTACTTATAGCCGCTCATTTATACTGTAAACCCTGTTTTGACACTCACCAGGCAGACCCTGAATGTTGTTGTTTTTTCGGTATTTTTACGGTATTTTACAGTCATTCGTTGATGTTGAACCTCCTGTGTATGTCAAGTGTATGATGAAATATGATATTGAAGACGTAAAAGGAAATATGTTATCCATACTCTCTGTAAACACCCAGGATATGTTGTATATAACGCACCACCTGCTTATATTGTAGGATACATGACGGTATATTTACAATATATTCAGCACACTGATGTGACGATGCATTATAGGTACACTTATCTCCGTGTAAGTCCCGCAACATGATAATCACGTGTTGTCGTTTTTTAATTATTATTTAATATGAATATTATAGTATGTACCTATCAAAGATTAGTAAAGGGTGTTTTTGGCAGGATTGCGCCGGAAGTGTTCCAAAGACAGCGCATGGTTTGCTATGAGCATGATTTTCGTTGGATCAGGGCTGAATCTGTTGTTAGAGATGCATGAAAAAGGTGAGGAATGTAAAAGTGTACTGGGAGGGGGGGGCGGACTGGTCTAAATATGGAACCACGTAATGTTTGGTAGCCATATACACCTCATAGCATTATCGATGCATAGCCATTTTCTACTCAGGCTTTTAAAACACCTTTGAGCAGCTGCAGCGCCAGCGTTCAACCAGCAGGGAGAGCTGTCAACATTTCAGCCATAATCACACCTGCTGCACCTGCAGTGAATATGCACGGCGTCGTTCACCTTAAAGGTGCCGACGCAGGGGCTAAAAAAACTAATAAATGAAGACAAAAAAACAAGACAGGACCTGTTTGTTGTTACCTGCGGATGTCAAGTCTGTTTGCGTGTTGGGAGTGCGTGTCGGCGTGTGCATGCTGGGAACTGTGTTGGCTTCACTCTTGAGTTTGTCCTCATCCAGCAGCAGCTCCTCGTTGTTGTTCAACTCTGTAGTTTCAATTTGTACAGTTTCTAGCACAGACGATTGAATATCCAGGCACTGCACAGTGTTCGTCTCTCGGTCGTGTTTCCTCAAACATTTACGGATTGATGGAAAATTCATCTGACAGTATTTTCACCGTCATTTGAGTCACTTTTAAGCAAAAAAAACAACTATGTGAAGCATTCTCAGCTCCATCGTCTTCATTTGGGGATTTATGTTTGGTGTTTTTTGTCTTGTGTGACGGTAAAACTGAGTTTCTTTGGGTTGTTTGTCAGTAGAGCTGCAACGATTATTCCATTAATCGATTAGTTTTGAACTATTTAAAGCTACAAATCATTTATTTCCTTCTCTATGACAACATTAATTTGTGTTTTGGTCAAAATAAGACATTTAAGGGCATCATCTGGGGCTTTGGAAAACACTACTTGACAATTTTCCCTTATTTTTTTTATAAACTAATCGATTAATCAAGAAAATAATCAACACATCATTCTACAGTCATTAGTTGCAGCCCTATTTGTCAAACCGAGACCTTTCTGATGCGGTTTCTCACATTCGATTAATCAGTAATGAAAAAAACTGCCTGTGCAGCTTATTTTCATCTCATCTTCAGCTTTTCTTGTCTGCACTTCCACCCTTTTTTCTGTCTTTTTTTTTCCCTCCGTCACTCACTCTGGTGTTTTTAAAAAGGTTTGTGTGTATATTGTTGCCATAACTGACGCCCTGTACCTTTATAACGGTTATGTAACTTTACAGTTGTGTATTTATTAATAGTGTTTGACTCTGCTGTTTATAATGTCAAAAAAGCAGCCAGACTCACGTTGAGCACCTCAGCGTTCACATACACACAAATCAGATGCCAATATTACGTAAATATAAAAAGCACTTCTCAGAATTCATCCTGGAAACGTACATTTTATTATGATTTCACACCTAACAGGCTGTCATCTGTCTTACTTTCTGACAGAAGGTAACATTTCTGTGCACGTTTTAATCATTTTAGTTCCACAATGTCAAAACACTTCACGAGAAGCCGCCTGCAGCTGCTCTGAAGCTTTCAATCATCACCCAGTTTTTCGTCAGCATGTGGAGGTTTATAGAAAAGTCAGATTTCTGGTTTGTTTTGCTGCTTCCGACACCCAGGATTCACCTTCAGGCTCAACAGAGCAAATTCATCCGCAAAAATGTTGTTAATCGATTAATCTCTGCAGTCTTTAGCCAAACAAAACCTCTTATTCGTGCACAAAAGTCAATGAAATCACAAGATTTTACATCAATATTTATATACTTGATCGTAAAAGTATGTGATTGTCTCCTGAAAGGTAACATTTTTTAGTTTTGTGCGCATGTAATCTTGTCAAAACAAGATTTACACCAATCAGCCACAACATTAAAACCACCAAACCGTATTCAAATCCTCTTAAATATTGTTCAGGAAGTGTCCAACAAGAGCAGCCTCCTTCAGCGGGATGATACGTCCTGCCACACTGCAAAACTACTCATGAATACCTGAAGGAACACAACAAAGAGCCTCCAAACTAGATCTGTGGTAAAGTCAGACACCTCCAGAAGTCCACGTTTCGACAGATCAGAACTGTTTGGAAGCACAAAGAGAACCTAAACAACATTAATGTTTTGGTCCTCCAGCAGCTGTTAGAACCATAACTCGTGTGTTTTCATCTCGTGCTCAAAGTCCAGATGAACCCATTAGCTGCAAAAATCAGTTCACTGATTGATCTGGGACGCTTGGGACAGTTGCCAATTTTGCCCTAATTTAGATAATCCATCCCTGTGGTGTGCACAAGATTAAAATCACTCTCTGAACATTAGGGGCCTCACTGGAGGAAGTTTAGAATAAAGAGCCGCAACGATAATTCAACTGTTACTTTAATCGCTTTTGATCAATAATGAATCAGTAATGTTTTGTTTTTAAAGAAAAAAAGTCTAAATTCTATTATTACAGCTTCTTAAATTTGAATACTTCTTGGATGATTTCCTTCTTTTCCTATGACCGTAAACTGAATTTCTTTGAGTTGTGGACAAAACAAGACATTTTATAGACCAAACTAGTCGACTAATTAAGAAAATAACGGACAGATGAATCGTTAGCCCTACTGTTCAGCTCACACGTGTCAACATAAAACCCAGACTTTGGCTCTAAACAGGTCAAACCCCAGCCTGCAAAACCGCGTTGCATTTCTGGTACAAAATGCCAGTCTGAACTGGACTGACCACACGTCTACTGCACCCAGCAGCGTTTTATTAGAATTCGGCTTTGACCACAAGATGATACATCAAAATGACAGATGTAGTCACTTTATGTTACTCACAGAAGAAGGCAAATTATTTAAAGAGTAAATAAAACTGTGTTGTGATAGAAAATAAAATCAGAAATTTCACATCGTGAGTTTAAAAAAGCTGCATTAAAGTCTGGTTTTACAACAGCAGATACTTGTAGAGAGGTTGTTAAACAAGTCGAAATTAAAATACATTAGTATAATTAATAAATATATTACAATTGAAGACAAAGTGATTCATTTAAGGATTAGAAGTGCTACATTTGGAAGGTCCAATATGTCTTCAATGACTAATTCAAGAAATTAAATGTAATCACAAAGGTTAAGCAGATAAAAGAACTCACTAAATCAAACTACCTCTCCACTCTGTATAGATGGATGTCTAATAAAAGCAAAGCCGTTTGTCAGAGCCTCCACCTTGTTAAACTCTCTAAGGTCCCCCCCCTCTTCCTCACCTCCTCCTCTCCTGTGTTGTCACCCATCACTTACATCAAAGAGCAGCTGCTGGATCTCCACGGTTAGCACGGAAATGCCTGGTTCCCCTGGCGATGGTGAAAGTCACCCTGTCAGACGCAGGATACGGTCCTTTAAACCGCTCCCATCACGGCCTCATTTCTGAATGTAAATAAAGCATGAGATACTACGGCCTGCTTTCATTTATCTTACGGTTAGAGTATTAAAACGAAGGGTTAATATATAAGGTAGGTCAACATTTTGTTCCTGTCCTTGGGCTCATGGTCATTTTTTCTTTTTCTTTTTATGATTTTTTCTATCAATGTGAATGATATTTAAAGCTGTCGTACGCTGTTGTGTTTTAGAGAATCGAGCCAGCTCATACAAACTCTTTTTACACGTAGAAAGGTCTGATCTGATCCATCTCAGTGTTTTTTAGACTGGTGCAGGTAAGGCAATGTCCATTTAATGCTAAACATTACAGTGAGCTACATGTGTCACTGCCTTGTTAAAAACCCACCAATGGAAAAATGTTGTTTGTTGAGCCTCTCACTTCGGGAGGCGTAGAAGATTAAAAATAAAAGTGTTTTGAAAGGTTCGCCGCGTCCGAAGCGTCATTGTGTGACTGAAGTGCGGCTGCTCAAGTGCTCGGCTTGAGTGCGTCTCTCAAGTGTTTCAGTATTTTTATGCAAATGTCATGTTATGACACTTCAACAAAAATGTGCATTTATGATAAAGCCTTTCATTAAAGTGCTTTAAAGCGGTTTAAATTTGCTCCACTTTGACCATTAACAGTATTAAAATGCTCCTTATATGTTAATATATAAGTAGGGACGACCCCATGATACTGTGTATGATAATATAGCACTAAAAGGGCCATTCTGATGCATGGTTGGTACATTTTTCTTGACTTTTTATCACACAAGATAATAAATTTTATACCATTTTACCACAATAACACCATCAAAACTGAGAAAAGACAGCATATGTGGCAAATCCTCCAACATAGGGTTGAAATAATAAAATAAGTCAAATGTTTTTCTGTAAACGTGGCTTTGAGGGCCCCTGAGGATCTGTGGCCCTGGAGGCAGTTTCCCATTTTGACCTATTTTAGGTAATCCAGCACTGTTGTGTGCACAATAATGAAATAAATGTCATCTGTGTGCAGCTGAGGAATTGGAATCAGTTTACTCATGTACCAAATGAGCTCCTGCCCTGTGACATAATCCACTTATATTCGGTCGGCGTACAGCAAAGAGTTGGAAACCCATGTGCGGTTCGACTCACAGCTGGCGGAACAAGTCGGGGTCACGATGCAGCCAGTTCTGAGTTTTAGTTCTGCCACCGAATGTGAGCATAAACCTAAATCAAACCACGTATCCACTACATTCATCACATTTAATCCAGATTAAAGAAACCTCAACATTATTCAATGTACATGTATATAATTAATGAGACAGTTAAATATAAAATTATTGTTTCAGATCTTTATAAACCTGATAAAGCCAGTGCCAGCATCTTGACAACACATCTGGGCCACATCAGTCAGCTTCGTGGGATATTTATAAGGAATAGTGACGTCCGTAGGCGTGGAGTTTGTCAGTGGGGATAATAATAAATTTAGAAAAGCTGATCTAAAGGAGAATGAATATTTCAAAGAGAACGCCAGAGAGACTTACTGCACTGTATTCCATTATAATTTGAATTGGGTGCCAGGGTTTTGTGTTTTCCTTTACATAAATAAAGAAATTTACACCATAACGTGAGACAGAACCAGACAGACATCGTTGTATAAAAATTAACCAAATTGCAAGAAATGAAGGCTCAGATAAAAAAATACACCCACAGTGATGACAATGTCAATTCAAGGAGGAATTGATGTTTTTGCGATTAGAGACATGAATAATATGTTGGCAAGAGGTTAAACTGCACAGCACAAATAAAGAAATATTTAAGGTTCATAGTATAATATCAATGTAGGTCATTTTCCCCTCATAAGGTTGAAGTTTAACTAATAAAACCTCCCAATATAATCAGCTTATTTGTACAGTAATTGCATTTTTTAATTGTTTATAATTGTCACAAAGCCTACATAAAATCTAGAAAAACATTCATTGCTCTCTATATTGTATAATAAGGACACAGTGAAAGTGTAGCATCTATCAACAAAATGTTTCCTTGTTCCTCCTCAGAAGCAGATTTAAGAAACGAATCAGGAAATAAATGTTGATATACAGGCGACCTAATCACATAAGACCACATTAATCCACTGTTACCAGCAAAGCAGGCTCATCAGCTTTTAGCGAAGCAGAACCAAAGGTGCCTCCCAATCTTATTGATCTCTGTGTATAAATTTGTAAAGTCATTATTATTCATAACAACAATAATCATCATCATCTTTTTTTAAAGAGGACTTTTCAAATAATAATAATAAAAAAACTGCTTCACAAAGCAGCAAAATATGCAGACAAGTCATAAATTATCAAACTGTAGAGAGATAAAAGCACAACACAGTGTTAAAAATGTAGGAGAAATGTTAAATAAAGTAAAAGACAGGTCAAAGAAGTTAAACTCTAATAACATCAGGACAGGCACACTGATAAAAGTATGTCCTAAGAATAGAGCCTAAAAGAACAGAAACTATAACCATGAGTGAGGTTATGAAGGGCCTTAAATGTTATTGATAAATACTTCAAATCTGCCCTGCAACATACAGAGAATAATTGTAAAGATGCTAAAACAGCAGTGATGTGATCATGTTTCTTGGTTCTTGTTAATTTATTATGTGAAGTGCATTAGATGACATATGTTATGAAGTGGTGCAATATAAATAAAACTGAAATGAAGTAATTTGTATGCTTAATTATTGATAAATAAAGTTTTTAGGTTTATGACACAGGAAAACTGTATTTAACTCAATCTGCTCCAGATAGTTGTAAGGAGCGACATGAGGTGCATTCAGTGTAGTTTGGATTTTTTAAAGGTTTTAATTTTTATTTGTTTTTCCTCTCTCACAAATTACACCTTTTTATGCTTTGATATTATTACAGAAAGTTAAAACACAATATTGGTGGTGTTTAGTTTAAAATCGTTCTCTGGTGGTTGTTTAAAAAGTTTGAGCGCCGCTGAACGCAGCAGGTGTTGTGTTCCTGAACGCACCTCGCTTCATTTGCAGCCGGGGTTTGTGGTGACGTATAAATGGGAAAGTACACAGCGCTGCTGCGTTGACCTGAAAAACAACAAGACTCTGGCAGAGAGACACACTTTCTACCGACAACGGCTCATGACACTCTCATAGGAACCCCAAGTAAGTCTCAAAACGCTCTTTAGCAGCGACTCGTCTCCGAAACATTCACAGAAACGCCCCAAAACTGGCGTCGAAGCCTTCATTTCCTAATTCTACAAAGCTAGTGAGCGGCTCCGTCTATTTCCTAGTGTGTGTATAGAGGCTGCCGCTGGTTGGCTAACTGTAGCTTGCTGCTCGCTTGTTAGCCAACACAAAAACAGTTGTTTGTGTCTTTTTCTTACCTGCTGTTCAAACTTGAGTATGTCATTATATGAATAGATATACTACTTGTGCTACATCTCCACTTACTATCCGATTGTTTTTGTGCTAATGTGAACTGACATTAGCCTGGCAGCTGCACCAGGATGTAGCCCTGCCCATGTGTTTTGTAGCAGTAGGGAGAAATTGAAACGGCTTAGTAAGTTGTAACCCAATATCAATAGATGCTGTTTAGTTGCTGACATGTAAATTAACAGTTATGTCCACATTTTGGTGCAGCTCGCGTTACAACAATGGAGAAACCTCTCTTCAGGCAGAGCCAGAACTGCGGAGACTGGGAGCTGAAAGAGAGGCTGGGCATGGGCGGCTTTGCCCATGTTTACCTCTACCAGCATATTGTGAGTGTGGAGCCATCTCATAAAGACACTGCAGAGGATGTAACCCTGAACTTTATGTACAACAGAAGTGATCTCACTCCTGTGCAAATCACCTAAAAGTCAAATGATTTAATATTGTATCACCTTTCAGTAGCTGCATTATTTCTAAGCTGAACAATGGAGTGTTTCCTCTTATGAACAATCATAAGCAAATACTTTAGAAGTAGGAACTCATTTCAACAAAGATGAACACACCTTTGATCACTGACTCAAAACTGAGATTGAACTGTGGTTTGCAATTAGTCCAGCATAGTTATGAAATGATTTGTAAACAACAAGATCCTCTCAGTTTTGGACCTATGGGCTGCCTCTCTGCAAGTTTCCATGATTTTGGAAGATCAGTGACCAACTACAAATCAGGTAAATACATAATTATCAGGAGAAACAGAACAAGCCATAGCACCACTAATCAAAGCTGCGGTAGTCGTCCTTTTAAATTGACACAACGGAGAGTGCACTGTTTGCACAATCTGGCTCTGAAAAACAAACATGCAAAGTGGTTCAGACTTGGCACAAGGGTTATCAATGGAAATCAGAGTTTCCGTGACAGCTCAGACAGTGTGAAGGACAGTTTATGATGTCAGCCTCCGTGGGTAGCATCCAAGAAAAACACCCTTGTTTGCAAGAATAAACCTCGCTTAAGAACATGGAAATAAGCCTGAAGAAAACACATTCTGTTGTAAGACGAGACCAAGAGACATTTGTTTGGCTCAGAGGAGGTCTGAGCCTGTCCAGGACCACCATAGTTAATGCATAGTCCTGACAGTGAAACACAGAGCTGGGAATGTGATGATATGTGGCTACATCAGTGCAAAAGATGTTGAATAGATGGCATTTATAGATGTCACCATGAATGCCTGGCTGACAAGATGACTCTGACTCCAGAGTCTTGACAGAAGAGAAATATTTCATCATGCTAACCCTGCAGAAGCACACTGCCAAAGTCACACAAGAGTTGATAAAGAAGATGAAAGTGATACTATAACCAGCCCAAGTATGTCAACTGGCTTGGCTCGAGCTGAGGGGAAAAAAAGTAGTTTCTGAAGAATGGCAGAACATTTCAATAAATGTGTGCAGCCTTGGTGTCCTCTGTGCTGATGAGATCGAGTCTGCCTTAAAAAATATATGTGAACTCACGAAAGTATTGGGGGGGAAAAAAAGGTCGGGTCTGAGTTTTTGGCATACTAAATCTAAACTGTTTGTGTTTAATTTGACATAGGAGAAAATATCTCACTGTTCAGCTTAGAAACAATGTAAGGTGATACCATTTACAATTTAGAACTATTTGATATTTAAGTAGTACTGCACAGGAGTGATCTCACTGTACACTGTAGGAAAGTTGAAGGGCAAATCTTGACATGTGTAACATCAGAACATTTTAGCCAGGAAACGGATGAAGTAGTATAATTAGCCATCTATTCTGACACTTCACAAGAAGAAGTAGCTTCTTCCAGAGTACAAACAAACTGCTATTTTCGGGTACGCTTTTATGTATTTGTGTAATAATGAGATCTGTGTTGCCTGTTTTTGTAGGAAACAAACGAAAAACTAGCTGTGAAAATGTGCCGTCTGGAGCTCACACCAAGGAATAAGGACAGATGGAGCAGAGAAATCCAGATCATGAAAAAGTTTGTGCTTATGTTACCCTCTTTCTTCACTGATTTAATTTAAAGACATTGTACAGCACACATCACAACATTTCTACAAACTGCACAATATTGGGAAAGACTGGCATTGTGATATTTTGTTTTTCTGCTTAGGAGATATAACTTGGGTTAAACTTACCAACTGTAGAATGCAGCCTGCGCCCAAAGCTCTGCTGCCTGGTCCACTTGTTTAGACCAGCGACCGTCATCATATTCACTGCTTTATCTGTTGTTATGCATACTTGATGTTGTTCATCGAGGCCCACAATCCAGGAGAAACTGCAAACAGGGACTTATCAGTTATTAATAGAGTGGATAGACTTACAAAGGGCTCTGTTGTCCGTTGTAGCTGCATAATATTCCAGCTTTGTTCTCGTGCTTTCCAGTTTTCATTCAGCTCTGGGATGGCAAACTGAGAATAACATGTGTGTTAAGGTATTACATGTCGCCTGTCAGTGATGGGATCATGTTTTTGAAATAGTGCAGGAGTGATTCTCTCTGCCGCATCCAACATAGTTTTATGCTTTGGGTAGCATTCAGATCTAGCTTTGTGTTGCTGAATTAAATGGTCAATGTTTAATTTCAAGGACTTCTCGGCACTGCCAACCAAGTACTTGCGCTTTTCTGTAGCCGAAGTATTTCCAGAAAGCTGACACTGAACTTCCTTTTGCAACTACATCTTCATTTTATAGTTTTTTTTTTTTCCTCCTGCTCCACATTTTGCTGTGCACATGTGGAGCCTGCAGCTCAACCCCAACAAACTGTTTTAAAAAAAAATGTAATAAAGCTCCAAGAACCCGTAAATGATTTTCTATCAGACAGATTTCTCTTGTGGATTAGTCCTAAAAAAAAAAACACAACCACACAAGTTTTCTTTTTAGTGTTTAACAGCAAAAAACGTTGTGGCATGACGTGTTTGAGTTAATTTGCCGTACTTCACATCACACCTCCTGCAATGTGACTGTTGCCCCTGCACACATCGCGGCGTTGATGCTAAAAACGATACATTGTGCAGCCCGACAACACAGTTACTGAGATGTATTAATTACCTACAGAAACCTGTAGACAGTTTAATTAGATAAGTGTTGCAGACGGTGTTATGTCGGCATTGCAGCACAGTGGATGACTGTGCAAAAACTGTCTGGCTATGATTAAAAAGTAATGTGGTTACGTCTTGTCCTCCTCTCTCACTCAGGTTGAATCATATCAATGTTGTGACAGCCCAAGACGTCCCAGAGGAAATGATCTGCATAGCCTTAAATGATCTTCCACTGCTGGCCATGGAGTACTGCTCCAGAGGAGACCTGAGGAAGGTGAGCGACTGGTGGACGCCGTCATTCAGATGGATTTAGCAATATGCAGGAAGGAAGGGAGTTTAAACTTTTACTGTAAATCCCCCCCCCCTAAAAAAAAACATCCATAAAACTGCTGACAATATAGAAAACAATCCATAACATTTTACATTTTCCTTACTAATCCAGTGACAGATGTTCATACATCATAAATAGGAACTCCTAAAAGCTAATTTGGCGTATAACTGTCCACTCGCCTTTAATTTCTTGTCCTGACGGGCTTGTATGTTGCTGTTAACATTTCTTCCTATAAATTTAACATCAAACCCCCTCCCAAAGCCAGTTTTGTTCATTTGGGTTTCATTTACTCAAGCATGATACACATTGCTGTTGATCAAAAGCTCAGAAATGGGAGACAGAAACAGGAAAAAGCATAGATTTCTTTCAGATAAGGTAATGCAGACTCATTTCCTTTACTGTACGCAGACGGATCACGCTCAATGTCATGTGTAATCACCCACCAAAGGTCTGTCATGAGCAGACATTTGGCTCCATTTTCACACAAAAGATGAATTTCAGAGTGAGCTGATAAAATGCAGGAGAGAAAAGCAGATGTTCCTGTAGAAAAAAAAAAAGACAGAGATTCACTTTGAAATATGAGGATGGCACTCCAAACAAGAATAAAATTGCAGGATAAAGAGTTTGCTGAATAACAGGAGGTAAATATGGCTGCAAGTATAGGAGTGAAAAATGATTTGCATACGCTCTGGACTGGATTGAAGTCATTGAACGGGTTTATAGTAAAATCACGCCACCTCTCCCAGAGAAATAAATCCTGTTTACAGATGCTTTAGTAGAGCTGAGTATTGAGCCATTAAACTGTTTGGTATTGACTGAAGTGTGCGCATTTGTATGGAAATTTTCAGTAGAAAGTTTGTGCTTCTGCCAATTTCAGACAGTTAGACTGAGGTAAAGTTATCGTGCATCTGTTTTTTGCGGCTGTAGAAGAGGGTTGAAGGAGCAATCCGTGTTAAATTTACTAAAAATAAGACTTCAATCTTGTCTTAAGTTTGGCTTCACTCACGGGACGGAAGTGTGAAATATAAAGATCATCTCATACATTATGTATGCAGGATGTCATACATGATATATACAGTCACAGCGCGGTGTGAAGCCACTTAGTTCAGCCTGTTCTCATTCTCAGGGCATCCAGTACTGCTGTTAAGTCAAAGAAACATGTAAACGGTGTCCTTCGGTGTCTGTGTAAATATTTGATGCTGATAAAAGAGGCGTCCTGGTTTTTCCCCGATCAGTTTTGTTAGATTTTGTGGCTTAGGTTTTGTTCTGTCTTGCGGCACCAAAACTGCTTGGTTAATCTTTGTTTGTGTTAAAATGCACCTTTTTAAAGACATCAACCACCTCTTAGAAGGAGTAACAATGGAAACACCAGCTGAGAACATGTGGCTCTGCACTCATGGCATCTATTTCTGATGTTCATGGAGTTTTATTAGACTACCCTGTGTTAGAAAAATGATGCTAAAGGATACCCAGTGCATTCAAGTAGAGGTCTGACGAAGCATGAGTATGTGACGAGTTAGGATTGAGGCTGGGTTTGTTCATTTGTGCAGCAACTTTCAACAACAAGGCAATTCCCACACTTAATAAAAACAGAAGACATTAAAGAGGTTACTGCAGGAAAAACAAGACGGTGTAATATTACATGTACAAGTATGATTCTGCAGCACATCAATGCATCGATTCATGTCAGGAAACTGATCACAGTTCTGTTTTATGTTGTCATAATACTGTGGCTGTGACACACTTTCATTTTCCTGCTTTACAGATGCTGGGCAAACCCGAAAACTGCTGCGGTCTGAAGGAGAGTGAAGTGCTGTCATTACTCAATGATGTTGGTACGTCCACCGTCTGTTGCATGTGCAGCATTCATTCATGTCTTTTCAAACATTCTCGCTGACTTAAGCCGCTGATTTCTGCTCCAGGATCCGGTATCCAGTATCTGCACGAAAACAAAATCATACACAGAGACCTTAAACCTGAAAACATAGTGTTGCAAGACATCAACGGAAAGGTAAAACTGCAACATCTTGGTTTTGGGCTTGCTCTGTTTGACAGCACATCGTCTATAAACTGCTCCTATTTTTTGCTCGTTCTTCTTCAGCTGGTTCACAAAATCATCGACCTGGGCTACGCTAAAGACCTGGACCAGGGCAGTCTGTGCACGTCCTTCGTCGGCACGCTTCAGTACCTGGTAAACAAACGCTCCTTTCTTTATCCTCAGATGCACCCAGCTTGATGTAATCTATGTAGTGTTCTAACTATGCATTTAAGTCATTTGCCTTTTTATAATGTCTACTTGTTTTACTGTTTTTTGTCTGCAGGCTCCGGAGCTGTTTGAGAATAAGCCATACACTGTCACTGTGGACTACTGGAGCTTCGGAACAATGATATTTGAATGCAGCTGCGGTTTCCGTCCGTTCCTGCACAACCTGCAGCCCGTGCAGTGGTGAGTTGACCTGACAAGGAAAACATTTTGCGGCAGAATGATTTATTTTACCGGGTTGTGGTGATTTGTTGGAGGAAGGCGTATTTAAGACTTGCTGATAAATCAAAGCAAAGTTACCTTGAGGAACCTTGTCAGTAGGGGTTGGGTTAAACAGCTGCAGCAGGTTCAATGCCTTCATTTGCATCAAAAATCTAAGTCAAATCTAAACACACGGACATGATGCACATATTTTTAGATTCAATATGACTTTTACTTCACAAGGATATCATTATTTCTGATGTCCTTCATGAATATACCTCCATATATCAAGTTAACCCTCTGAACCTCAAGCAGTTTCAGGGTGTTTCTTTCCTCCCATCACATTTTTACTCACCATGAGGTTGTTTGCACAAGTCCTGCAGGTCTATAGAAACAGAACAACCATGGCTTGAAAAGGAGAGAACTCAGAAATATTGTTTGTGCTGTATAACATAGTGATATTGCCATAAATCATAAAAAAGAAAACGCTAAAGTTGGATTTCAAAAATTGAAGAAGGAGGAGGGGAAAAAACATCAACATGCATTTCATATTTATCTTGTTGTTTTTCTTTATTTACTGCATGTTTTTGCTTATTTATCTGTGTTTATGGTAGTGGTAACTTTACTCTCTCTGCTGTAACTACCAAATTTCCCATCGGAGATTGATAAAGTATTTATATTCTATTCTATTTTACTTGCACAACATTTTGTTCCATAGGGTTACTAATACTGTTGGGAACAAAGGTGGCACTACATGCTATAGATATTTTACGACTTGCATTCTTACAACCTCAACAAACCTTCACATCAACTCTCAAATGATGTTTCACCATGCTGAATGTGTCAGCATCAACTTGCTGATAATTTTCTTCTTTGTGCACCGTTTCAGAGCTATGCTGAATTCATTTTATTGATCATGTATGTTCCTCTCAGTTTTCATCTCTGATTTGTTTCCTCCCTGTTTCTCTATAAACACAACCTCCAGTTTAGCTTCTAGTTATGCGGAGGAGGTAAAAATAAGTTGAAAATCCAACAGTTCTTTCTGTTTTCACAGTTTCTGACTCTGACAAATGGGGTAATTTACTTTTTTTTTAAATGCACGCACTGTTCACCCAGTTGTGAGTTTTTGGGTTCCAAGAGTTAAAATCATACTTTACAATCATACTTCAAAAACATGCTCCTTTTATCAAACTTAATGAAAACCAGCACACTTTCCTTCAGTATGGCAGTTCTCTAGTGGAGGCTGTTTGTACATTCATGGTTACATTATAAGAGGAGCTGATAATTTGAACCTTTTTTTAATGGTGTCAATTTGCCCACATTATCCCACATTAACCCAGATATTGAAGGGGAAAAGGGAATCAGCATTATATTGTTTTATTTGACGCTGTTGAAGCCTTTTACTATTAAAAAAATAAATAACAAGATTTACTAATGTAGGTAAATTGGATCCAAACACAATATAATTAAATCAACTGAGGCGAGCAACAAAGGAAAGAAGGCCGGCAGTGGAAGCCAAATCAAAGACGCTAATATGACACAGTTTGCTTTCTGTCAGCTGATTACAGCAGCGGCTTGGCTGGCAAAAGTCAAAACAAAGCTGACTGGCTGCTCTGCACTCACCTGTTCAAACAGAACACAAGCGAGGAAGACGCTTCCTATGTTAAGCTGATCGTGCCTGCATGACAAATACATCTGCTATGTGAAAACAATTAATCAGAAATCATTGCCACTTCCTGATTTACCTGTTTTACCAAGCAAGGTGGCAAAAAGATTTGGTGCTCGTTTGTGCATTTCCTTTGACCTGGTATGAAAGTAACAGTCGATTCTGCTGCAGCTAGTTGATGTAAAAACAAACCGAACAACCTCAGGACTATTTAACAGCAGATTTCAAAAGCTACACTATTAATAAATCCGCTGATTGTGAACTGTTCTCAAAGCAGTCATGTGATTGGTCTATATAAACCATGTGTGTGTTTATGTAGTGACTTGGTTACCGTGGTGAGAATGTATGAAGGGCACCACACAAGTTTCCTGATCAAACAGCCAGAAGCAGGTGGAGCGGCAGTCTGTCGTATCGCTGACAGTTCTTCAAGTTCATAAAAACGCTTGACAGTGGAATATTACTGTCGCCTTCCAAACATCTCTTTTTCAGTTTGTCATCATTCATAACACTTTTTACACAACAGATGCGTTGCTGGCTTCGTCAGTCTGTTGAAATGATGGCATTCTGTGATTTTGTCATAGGCCGCCTTTATGCTAAAGGTGGAGTCTGCAATCGTGGAAAAAGACAAGTTAGAATATCAGCTTGTGTCAGATTTACAGTCCCTCTTGCTTCTCATGTACACAAACTTGAATGTACACATGCTAAAATTGTGTTATGTAGATCAGTCAGATGCTCCCATGGCTGTGCACGAACAACCGATTTATTTACTTTTTTTCTGCTCACACTTACAACAGACGCTTGAAGAGATTAATTTTATTTTTTTTCCTGGTTTCATTCCACAATATAATGCATTTAATATTCACAGACAAGATGGCCCAGCATCACTTCCTGGTTTGTCATCAACTATACGTAATAACGCCCTTTCTTATTATGTCGTAATGTTGTGCGTGTGCAATCAGTTAATGAGTCAGTGTGCAGATCAGCCATTTTGAAAGTGATACAGAAATATTGCTTAAAAGATTGTTGCCGCAGAAAGTGACTTTTTAATATGCTTTAATAGAGAGTGCACAAAATGGCTGAATGACGCGCAAGAAAAAAAATATCATATGGCGGCTATTTTAACAAAGATTGCTATGGCGACATCGCTTGTAATTTTAAGAGGAATCTGCTTTGATTTCATGATTTTTGCCACAGTCTTGTCCCAAACAAACAGGATTTATAGACTGAGGCGTCTTTGTAGCACCACAATTCATAAATTATAAAGCTATGTTGTCACACATTTGACCTTTTATAAATAAAGCTGTACCTCCTGCGATCGGGTTGTAGCACTTTGCCATAAATCGATAGTATTTCCATGAATTAATCAGCCGTTTGAAGCATTACAGCTCAAACTGAGAGTAGCTAGTCATCAGCAGTGTTTCTTTATCCGTCATCTTTCCTGACTTGACTGTGTTTACTCGGCTTGATTCATTTATAATTTTAAAAAAAAAAGTCATTGTGAGCATGAACCAGACCAGAACAAAAGAAAAATGCAGAAATGTATAATTGTTTCCTCTTCTAGTCTGAACCAAAATTAACTGAACTGGAAATTACAATAACATCAGTAATGCTTTCAGGAAAGGAAGCAGGTTAAAGGTGTGTAGAGAAATACCTGCAGTGTTGATGTCAATGTTTACTAAGAACAACTGAAAACAGCATCTTCCAACACAAATGATTCAATTTTGAAGTGTTTTTTTTGTGTTTTTTTTTTTTGTTAAAGATGTTTCAGCTTTTGTAAATGAGCAGTTTTAGGATTCTTCAAGGTTCTTTCTGTCTCTATCCACAGGGCCAGCAAAGTGAGGAATAAAGGTCCAAAAGACATCATGGCTACAGAGGAGCTGAACGGAGAAGTCCGGTTCTCCACACATCTGCCCTACCCCAACAATCTCAGCGGGTCAGGACCTTGTGAAACCTATTTATTTATTGATTTGTTTTCTTGCATATGAGGCCAAATTATGTCGTCACAGTGTTAGCTGCAGTAGTTAGAATGAAAAACAAAACAGCCGTGAGCATCTCGACTGTGCTTGGTGCTAATTTCTCTCCTTGGACACACATTTGTAGGACGCTGCGGGAGCCGATGGAGGAACTGCTTCAGCTGATGCTCAAGTGGGATCCTTTCCAGAGAGGAGGCAAAGTGAACCCCGAGACCAAGAGACCCCAGTGCTTTGAGATGCTGGAGCAGATCCTGAGCATGAAGGTGAGTCACTAGAAGAGCTGCTTTTCTTCCACTTTGATGAGTGTTTTTTAGCTGTATCTGGGTCAACGATCAACGCTGACACACATCTCTGGTAAGATACAGAGATGCTGATTGCTAATCTGTTGCTTTTACTATTTATTACAAAGACAAAGGAACTCTTTGCACACTTATTTTATGAAACAGGTGTGTAAGAGAGGGATGAACTTTTTCAAAAGTTTCAAACAGACTCCTGCATGTTGTCAAACTTAGAAAAAAAACTATTTTTTACAAGTCAGGCAGTGTGTGGGAGTCTGTTTTACTCTAATGACTTTTAGAATGCAAAAAGTTTCAAAAGTCTACAACAGCTACAATGACTGAGTAATCAGTCAGTCGACAGAATAATTAGCTGCAATGCTGAAAGGAAGGATGCCACTTTGAACGCTGAAAAGTTGACCTTTTTTGAGATTCCTGACAAACAACAAATCATTTATTTGAAAAAAAATATCTTCTAATTCAGTATTTTTAAAAATGTAAAATACTTGCATCTCTAATTTCAACACAAGCAGCCGCTGTGGCCCTGAATGCACCAAACACTGCAGCAAATGATGTGCTACTGCTCCTAATTAATACAATCAGTCACCCATCCATGCTTATTTGTGATTATTTATTGGAATTTTTCATTGATATTTAGGTTCACAATATTCCTGCTAAAACTTCCCACCTGTTGTAAATTTTCTTCAACTTCAAAATGTTTTCTGTTTAGTTTTAGTTGACTTCTAATTTTCTCAGATTTGCACAT